TTGATTCCCTGCCTCTCCCCTGGACACCACTTACTTTTATGGAGCCTGTCCCACATTCAGCAGCCGGGACCTGCCTTGAATGCAAGGCAGGTTACCATACATTCTGTTTTGCCACACAATAAATGTATCCCACATGTTAGTGGTAGATTGTTGCTGATTTTACTGATGGGTCTCCAGAATTACTGTGCTGGCAGAGTTCTGAAATCATCCAGTGTTCTCTGGATGACCTTGAAACCCAAGTAAATTCCCAGGACAAACAACAAGTTCGGCAAACCTATGCATGCCTGTCTGTCTATCAGCTCTTTCCTCCATCTTGAGGGGACCTTATCTGTTGCTGTTTTGGAAATATCAGAGTTTTAGAGTCTAAATTGCTGTAGTATTGCTCCTTTTCTGCCTTCATGTGATTTATTCTTGGCATCTTCAGCAGCATGACCCAAGCTGGATACAGAGGTAGAAGTAGCTGACAGAACTTGATCATGAGTCTTTTGAGTACTCTAGCTGCTAATCACCCAGTGATTGGCATTTTAAACTGAAACAGATTTTAGGGCAACAAGAATGGCGGTAGCAATCTGAAAATGGTTTGTGCTGGCTGCCTTCTTACTATTGTGTCTCAGGGGACTAGTCATCTAACTGCTCTTGGAATGGGATGGTTCTGTACAATTAATAACCAAGGAGAACCGCAAATTATGCTCTGTATTGATTCTGTTGTCTTGCATTGGATTTTGTTAGGGGCATATTCTTCTCTTGACTTCCTGGCATAATTCCCAATGATACTAATTGGAGTTGGGTGCAGGTAATTTTACTATAGCACAAATTTTCAATATTTATATGCTTTTTGGCTCGAGTATACCATTTAAAGCTAGACACGAGGGAAGAATTACTGATTCAGGTAGAAATGTGTTTAGTAATGAATTGCTATTGATTTCTGAAATACAGAAAGATTAAAATTTTAAGAGAATAGTATATTATAGTCAAAGAGGAAAAAAAAGGCCAAGAAAGTGCCACTTCATTTAGTGTGTTCCTTTGATTTGTGCAGTGGTTTATCAGGGAAATGACAGAGGCATGCACTTCTTTAAATCCTTAAGGCTTTTGGGTAGCCCTAGTGAATAATTTTAACAGTCAGGTTTATGTGGAGCCAATTTAGGGTAACTTCCTATCTTCTTTTTAATTTTTTTGCTTGGCGTACCATTGGAGCTTACTAAAAATAACTTAAAAAAAATATATAGAGCTTTGTTAGTTTTTTCCCCCTGTTCCAGTAATAATCAATTTTAAGATAATTTTGTTCTTTGTTTCCTTAATAGTCTGATACCTACCTCTGCATGTCATTACGTCTGCCAGTGGATGAGGAAGCCTATGTAGGTGAGTATTAGTTGAATGGAAAATCTGATCAAGCCCTTGTGAAATTACTCAACAGTTTCTTTGACTCATATAAGCCTAATCTTTTACTGTCAGAGTTTCTAAAATGCATTCATCATGCCTAATGCAGAAACAAACTGGAGAGAGCTACTTAGAGTCAAGATAACAAACTGTAGCTGGAGAGATTCATGAGCAATAGTAGTTAAGGAGCTGCATGCAGATGCCTGTAGCAGCCAATACCGAGCCGTCCCATTTGTAAAGTATTGGCTTTCTGTCTGCGGTTGGATACTTAATTCCGCTTCAGTGAACACACTGTTTATTTACCTGCCTGTACAGGCTGTAAATCCTTTGCACTTACAATCAACAATGGGCACAGTAAGATCTTACCTGTCTGCAAAATATATATATTCTGGCCTGGATGACGTGATGGGTAAATGACAGAATGTACTGCAATAGTTTATCGATGTTTAGATCAAAGAAGTAGATAAGTAAAGTAAGCACTATATGTTCAGTGCCTCTTCTGGACACCTCCAATTTTATTCCATTTTACTTGCAAGCATTTAGCTGTTCAGTAACAAAGAGAAGACTTGCAAATAGTTTATTTAACTGAAGTTGGTTTCACCACAGTATATGGCTGGAAAGAAGAACAGAGGTAAAGGTAGACCATCTGTATTTTATCCACTTCGCATTATCCCTGTATGCCTTGGGGAATGTTCTGAGATGGTGGCTCTTAGATGCATATAATTATTTGCTGCTGGAATGTTAAAAAAAATTATACATCTATGTTGACTGGTTTGCAAGAACTGGTATTTAGATCTGGAATAGAACAGTATGCTTACATTTTTACACTCTACTGTTGCAACAATCATAGCAATAATAAAAATCGAGTAGATTTTTCCTGAGGCTTTCTAAGATGAGCTGTCACTATGTAGTAAGTGAAGCAGCTGCTGACTTGAATTATCTTTTGGCTGTGAGATTTGACCCCTAGAAACTAAATGAGCATGAAAGGATTATGAATGTAGTTCATTCTTTGATGAACTATTTCTTACCATACAGGTCAAGTAGTAAACTCTGCTGTTTCTGTGCAATTGAAAAACTATATACCAAACTTTATTTATGCACAATTTATATTTAGCACTTCAGTGATTTTCAAAATTGCAGTATGTTCTTACTTAGAAAGTTAATAGATTGCATCTTTTATACTTTGCAGAAAGTTTGTTTCTGTAATTTGGCATTTAGAAACATTAAATCTATATAGCATATGTTGAGTTTGTGTGCATCTTAGAAGTGGCATACCAAAAGAGCAGACTTTTAAAATAATCATGGAAGAGGAGTAAATCATGTAAGGTGTTAGTGGAAAATCCAGAGAAACATCTTCATATCTGGAAAGAGAAGGAAGGGTAGCTTTTAGATAGCTGTGTATCCTTGATTTTTTTCTCATTTCTCTTGGATGCAAAACTTTTGTTCTACTTGTTCCATAACATATAATTATTACAGCTGGACTTCTGTGGCTTAGGAATTCCAAGATTTGCTATTTATAATGAATCATCAGGGCTTTGTGAAATGGTGACAGCATAGTGATGTTCCTATTGCCTTGAATTATACTGATATCTCTGACACTTGCATTTCTGTGACTTTTGCCTCCACAGACATGGTCTGTTTTCTTTTACTTTAAAATGTCTTCCTCTTTCTTTAATGTTAGTTCTGTCACC